CCCCCAAAACCCCAAAACCCCAAAACCCCAGAGTGCCAGGAATATTGAAAATTTCACATGAACCAACTTCCAAACCAAACCACCTTTGAAGCTCAAAATCTTGCTGAAGTAGCTAACCAAGAGCCTGCTGCTCCTCAGGCTGCCCTAGATAATCAACACCAGACTGAATATCATTATCAAGATACCCCAACAATGCAGACGAACTATCAACAAGAGCAGATCCAGCAAAATGAGTCATATATCCAGCCTCAAGACCCTGCTCAGACCTTGTTGAACCAAGCAAAATTCCAGAGAATGGAGGCTCCTCAGCCAGAAGTGGCTCAGCAATACCTGGGAGAAGTTGATTATCAAAATATGGGAATGAATCAGCAAATTTCTCAAATAGAGTCTCTCCAGCAGCAGACTCCCCAAATGGAAGTGTCTCAGCAACAAGTTTCTTATCTTCCAGAAAGTGATCAGACAGGCCCAAGCCCTCAGTTAGCAGGTCAAAATCAATATGACCAGAATGCTAACTTAGGATACTACTATGCAAACAATCAAGCTATGACTGAACAACCTAGCCTTGAGCAAAATGGAGCTGCAGAAATTGCTTTACAAAATTATCGACAGACAATTCAGCAAGAGACAGGAGTTGAGTCTCATCTCAATGCCTTAAACCTGAATGACAGGAAGAAGCAAGTGTCAGCACTAGAGATTGCTAGAAAGACGACTCCCTGTGTACTCAGGCCTAGGGATAGATCTCCTCAGCAGCCTATTGTCAGGAGGAAGCAAAAAGAAGTCAACCGTCCTCCAATGACTGTTGATCAAGTCTTCATCAAAGAGAACATGTGTGACCACCAAATTGTCTGTGACATCTGAAAATGAGAGAGTTATGAAGAAGGAGACGAAATTGTCATCTGAGAGACTTGTAATGTTGCAGTCCATCAGAGTTGTTACGGAAGAGAGATCAATGACTCAGTTCCCATGGACGATTGGCACTGCGAGAGATGCAAATATATCAAAGAGAAAAAGAATGGAGACTTTTCCCACGCTGTCTGTAAGCTTTGCAACAAAAACAAAGGATGCATGATTAGAGTGTCTCTTTTCTGGTATCACATCCAATGAGTCAACTGGACGTCAGAGATCTACTTTGAGGATAGTGTGAAGAAGGATAAATTAGAAGGATCTTTAGCCAAAGATGAGTGTACTCAAGTAGCAAAGGATACTTGTGTTTATTGTAAGATCCCAGACTGCTATTGAATTAAGTGAGACATTTTGGGATGAAACGAAAAGTTCTGAGTCAGGTGTGCATCTGAAAGAGGGATCATTAAGCCAGATGATCAGATGGATTGTCAAAAGCATCCTGAACTTGAAGATGTTGTTTATATCTTTTGAGAACGTCATCTGACAGAAGGAATCAATTTAGTACAGAGTAAAGCATTTGAAAAATTGAGATTAGACCCAGTGAAGATAGAGAAGGAAACTCAGAAGATTCTGCAGAAAGAAAAAAGAAATGCTAATAGAAGAAAGAAAGTAAGAGGGCGGAATAATGCAAATAAATCAAATTCTGGGACTCTAGGATCTAGGAGCAGAAGTCAATTAGTTGACAGGCATAGTTCGAATAGAGTTGACGAACTCGAAAGCCAGTATGATTTTTTGAAAAATCAGTATGCTCAGCTGTCAAGCTTATTGCTTCAAACGATGATTAATCAAAATGTTTCTTCAAAAGAACTGATTACTCTTACAAACAGAGGATTTAATAACCAATCTGGAGGAACATCAAGATCAAGAAGGAAGTCTAAAAGATCAAACGCATGAAAGACACCTTCAAGGAGAAATGCTTTAAATAAGAATACTAGAAAGAAGAAGGTAGAGATGAAGTCAAAAGTACTTCCAAGAAGAACACGGAACTCTAATAACAGAATCATGTACAGAGATGTAAACTCCGCTGTTGGTCCTCCTCAGAGCCTCAATGAAATTGAAAAAGTGATGAACCAGTTTAACAGTAGCATGAGCTTAAATGAGCAGAAGAAGCAAAAGAAGAGGAGCACCAAGGCAGCATCAAAAAAGAGCAAACCTAAGCCTCCAAATAGCTCGAACAGCTTTGGAAAGTCTACAAGATTCCGAGTTTCCCAAGATGTCATGGAATATTTTTGATTTAAGGACGAAATTCTCACATCTCATGAACTTCAGACGCAGATCCTTGAATATTTCCAGAGAATTGGACTGTATGACTCTGAGAGCAAATGAGTAAAAGCCTTCTTATGAGGAAAGGCAAGAAAAATCTACAACCGTGATATTGTTGCTGAGGATAAGATCGTTATAGACCTGATAAAGATGAAGCACATTATGATAGTATCTCCTGGGAGTCAAGGAGCAAATCAAATGATCAATCCAGCTCCGGTGATGCAGCCAGCAACACGAGCAAGTCAAAGAGTAGTCAATCAGAGCATCACACAAGATACTAAACATGAAGATATTGGTCCTGGAGCTCAAGGTTCATTGGGATCAAATAAGCTAGCTTTGCAAGGATTGATGAAGCTCGTTCAGCAAAATCCTCAAATTCTGGCTCAGCTGCCCCAACTTAGTTAATACATTAATTATCTTTTAGTTTATTTTTATCCAGATTCTATAATTTTCCTCTATAATGGGGTTTTGGGGTTTTGGGGTTTTGGGGTTTTGGGG